CCCGATTCTGTTAATATTTTACATATACACCCTAATAAATACTGTAGATTTATAAACTAGATATATCTATGTGTTTTTTTTTTCCCCAAATTATCTGTAGAACCTGCATTTTTACTTAGTCTTACAAGCTATCATATATGTTGTCTATGCACATCTGATTCATAGCAGTCATTGTTATCACCCCACCAACAAAAAGCCAGCAGTACGTGACAAACATGATGCAATGACTATATGAGAGCATGGTGTCTCTACCAATCATTTGCATCATTACAAACTGAGGGAGATTTCTTATTGATGTTTGCAGCCAGATGCTGATCGGAGAAGCCACAGCTCAAAGACAGAATATTTCCACACTCATGTCAATGACGCCAAGTTACCCTGCAGTTACCCAACAATTGATTGAATTGCCTGGTAATCAAAGAGAGCAGCAAATTGATTTGCATTGCAGCCTTCTGGTATAACAATAGGTCCTAACCACATCTCATTGCTGCTGTTCCTGGAAGAAGGAGTCTCGAGGCAGGGAAATGCACAAAGCTACTGCCAGCTGGATACTCGTGGGCTGAGGCTGCTTTTGAAACATGACGCCTGTTTTAGAGGGAGGGCTTGATGCACTAACAATATTTGACTCAGTAATCAGAGAGCTGTGAACAGCACCAATCAAAAAACCCAAAAAAAACCAAAACCCAGTGAAGGAAGGGAGAGTTGCAGGGAATATAATTTAGTCGCTGAAAGAAAATAAATTATCCAACTAACAATGGCTCGCCTGAAAAAGCTAGAAAAAGACAAATTCAAACATACAAACAAGAGACATGGGGGTTACAAAGAAGAGGCATGTCATTCCCTCGGTGGAGTACAATGCAGCTCTGACTACGCAATACACTTTTCTCAGCAGGGTTTTTCAACCTAGGCAAAGTGCTATGCTCAAGTAGTTACAATGTTTCTGGTGTTTTTCTAGCTGCGGTTAAAGAGCATCCAAGGGTACCTACATGGAGACACAGAAAATAGGGCTGAAGGGGACCCCATGAGACATTACCTGTTCCTTCTCCAGCAATAATGCAGAATCATCTGTACCTACGTTCTTCCTGACAGATGTTTGTCTAACCTGCTCTTAAAAAGCAGGAGTAACAGCAACTCCACAGCTGCCACCAGCAACCTGTTGCAGTGCTCAGCTGTCGTTACAGTAAGATCTCCCTAAAGTCCAACCTCACTGTCTTTCACCATATGGTGCAGTCCATCACTCAGCTAGCACCTCAGAGATTTGTACTTCACCCCTAACTTGTCACACTCATGCTTCCTTAACAAAGAGTTGGCATTATTATGCCTCTTCACTATGCCTGGCAACTAGGGACCAGAATTTTCTATTTCTCAAGGACATCATCTTGACATTTGCATTAAAAGTAAAAATGAACAACAGTTGATCAACACCTCTGGAAACTAGGCCTGACAGATTTTAAGCAGAGCCTGAAAACCAAGACACTTGGTTTCCAGAGTGCTTTTAAAAATGCAGAGTTCTGTGAGTCCCATTTTCCTCACTGATACCACTAAGAACATCAATAACTGTTTTCCAAAGTCCATAAAAAGATTGCTTCTCCACAAATTGGCAGGAACTATATCATTTTTAATCACCAATGTAACTTATACCAATAGGAAAAAAATATATGGAGACCATCTGACTTAACTGTTACTAAATCATACTAATATGTTTCTCACTTCCACATACACTAATATAATTATCTGCATGATGAATATTAAGATACATTTTATTACCTGCTTAGATGCTATTTAACATTTTCAGGCTTTAATTTTTCTTTAAACCTACTGACAACTTTTACAAAAACAATGAAACTATTAACATAAAAAATCTGTTCAAACATCAGTGAAGATTTCAGAGGACAGAACTGGTTTATGTCTGGATTTTCTAGAGGCCAAGAATGTGGAGATGTCATACATGTTATTACCTAACACATCAGGAGGGGAAGGCTGGTTCTTCACCTAAGCAAATGGCTAAGAGACAAGACATGAGAGGAACAAACATAATTCTGAGATGTGCAAGTAAAATTGATAGTGGCAATGAGATCCAAAGGAAATATTTATTTTTAATTTCTAATGTGTTATGCAGAGTAATGTTGTTTTATGTTATGTTACATTGTGTCACGTCATATGTCAACTTGATGCAGTGCAGTTAAAATAAAAAAGAATGTGTTTTGGACTGGATAGCTGAATGTCTGATCCAATTTTGCTGTTTTCTTTAATAACCAAGGAAATAGGGGGGGAAAATCTACCTAAAACCAGCCTGAATAATTGATTTTCTGGTATCACTGTGTAAAACATTCTTGAAAGGTTTGCTAAAATTGTGGGTTTGCAAAAAAAAAAAACCCACCCCCTGAAACTGTTAATAACCAAGGAAATAGGGGGGGAAAATCTACCTAAAACCAGCCTGAATAATTGATTTTCTGGTATCACTGTGTAAAACATTCTTGAAAGGTTTGCTAAAATTGTGGGTTTGCAAAAAAAAAATCCACACCCTGCAAGACTGTGGAGATAACTCAGGCACTGCCAATAAGAGGAAATGGTTGGCCTAGAAATAAACCTTAAATAGCGGGTGTAACAAGACTGCAAAAGACAGGCAACATGAAAAGATTTCTGCCATTTTTAGGTCTTGGTTTGTTGTTTATTTCCTTTTTAGAGTTTCAATCACATAATCTTTTATGGTTTGCTTCTTTTCTTTTCCCAGTCTTTCTGCCTGTCTGTTTTTTAAATCTATTGGAAGTACTGGCTCTCTAGTTAGGTTAATGCGTGACTTGCTTCTCTTTTGAGATGTAACAGATGGAGAGTGTGTTGCTGCATCACCAAAGCTGGCATATGAATTTTGCTAGCTTGTGCTAACAAGGTGAAGATCTTTCCCTTTTTTTCCTACAGTAAATTGTTGCCAGCTTATTGCGGTTACTCCTTGTCTCTATCAGCTGTAAAAAAGCCTGAAAAGGGCAATTATATATGCTATTTCTTCCTAAGACTCCACCAGCCTCCAACTATTTTCAGCTTAAGGACTTCCTGAGCTAGATGTGGTTTCTCTTTATTTAGTAACCTTCTATAGACTTATCTTCTGTTGATTTTCCCAGTGTCCCCTTGAACCCAAAAATGTTTTTAGCATCCACAACATCCTTGTGCAAAGTGCATGAGAAACCACTGTCTATTGCTTGTTTTGAACCTGGCATTAATGATCTTTGATGTCTTCTTTGCTCATCTACACATGCACATGAAGGCAAATACACCCATTCCCTCTCTGTTCCTAAGATACACAGATTTTTCAAAGAAGGGACCCAGAGCTATGTTCAGGAGGCTGTGATTTTCAAAGGGCCATAGGCACTCAACAATAATTAAACAATATTGGGAGTTGGCTGTAAAGACTCTTGGAAATCCTGCATTTAGGCTCCCAACTCAATATTCAAAACTTCTGACTTTCATAAAAGCTTCTGGGAGATCAGCAGTCTTCACATTTGTTTTTTTAAGCACCTATATATAGACTTTATGCTTTTATATTTGACAACCTTAAACCACCTGTGTGATTCATGCAGTTTGCTCAGGTCCCACCTAAGGCTCTACAGCTTAATTGCAAACTAGTAATAATAGTATTTAGGTGCTGAAGTGAATACTATAGAACTCCTGGCACTTTTTCCTTACATTTACAAATCAATTCAAAGCAATTCAAACAAAATAATGACTTTCATCAGAAAAGGTAATGGGGAAGGCAACTGTGGGCAAAGAGCACCATTTTTTGAAAACACATTTTTCTGGAAAAAAATAAAAAAATAAAAAAAAAAAAAGCAACAGCAAGGAAAGGAGTATTTTAACATCCCCCAAGTTTTAATACATTCTCATAAGGAAAAAAAAAAAAAAAAAATCATTAAAACATGACCTGTTTTGGCCAATACAGAGGGATAGAAGTCTGAAAGACAACGCATTTCTAGTAAGTAGTGTGCTGAGTAAAGATAAGAACCACTTATTGAAATATGTAGTTGCCAAAAACCACTGCCTTCCACCCAATGCCCCCACCCCCATAGGCAGAATTTAGCCTTTCTAGAAAGATGAGATATATATACTGCTTGATGGAGGCCAGACAGACAGTCAGCACACACATCCTGACCAGCCGGAGAGCATGAGCATATTGGCTGGGCAATTAGCACACTTGTAGCTCCAGAGCAGCCACAGGATATATTGTCTCTAGCTGGGTTTATTATTTGTTGGGATATAAAGGAAATGGGACACAAATCCATAGGAAACCAGGCTCTGTTAGCTCTGGTGCTCATGGAATAGCTTGTTTTATTTTTTCAGGAGATCAGAGCAGTCAATTGAAGTCCAAGATGTCCAGATGTCTGGTCACACTCTTCTGGGCTTGTAGCTAGTTAAGAGTGGCCAAGAAAAATATACTTTAAATTATAACTGAAATTGGTTTGAACACTTTCTAAGTAAGGAGAGAGAGGAAAAAATACAAGTTTACCACTTAAGGGTGTTCTGGTTGCACATCTATAATTCAAAAATATCTCAGCTTTTTAAAAATATAATGAAACTTTGAATGCAATTAGCCCATATGCTGAATTAAGCCCTAAATCAAACAGAACACATTATTAACTTTTGAAAACTAGCTACAGAACACGCATAATAGAATTTCATTAGCTTTTCTTTAAAAAATTAATAGCCATAGAGTACTTTCCTCATAACTGCTGCATAGTGCAGCTTGATATAATACACATTACAAGGTGTGGTGTCAAAAACTCCACAGGAGCCTTTATGGTCTATTTCATAAATAAAATAGTTATTCCAATTTGTCCAAATACATATTTATACAGTAGACCATCATGGCTGAAACGACTGAGGAGATAAATCACAAACAGCATTCCAGTATGAATAAACAATTGCAGTCTTTTTGTTTATATATTTCTCCATGGCAAGGAAATAACACAAGAAACAGGAGCAACAGGGACCTCTGTGATTCTTCAGTCCCACACCCTGCTATGACAGGTACCTATAATGCATAACCCCACATTTTTTCATCTTTGTTGTTGTTTTGAAGAGTCAGTATTTTTTCCAGTATTTTTATAAAAATAAAATTAAAAAAAAGATGCTGGAAAGTACCAACCTTTTTCTCCTAAGGCCAAGTCCAAAAGCCCTTTAGTTTGGTTTACTTTTGTTGGTCATTTTGTCAACTAAAAAAGCTGCAGAATGATTTGTGATGAACGAAATTTTCTTCCCCAAAAGAGGCCTTTACTGCAAAATTAATCATGTGCACTGCAAGACCTAGATAACTGCATTCCACTTTGAAAAAACTTCATCCATAAAGCCTCAAAATGACTTGGGTAAGACTGTGTTAGTACTATTGATCGTGATTAAAGCATATCTTCATGGCTGCTGTAGGAAGGTTTCATAGTGCATGCTGTAATTTCAGCAAGGCCTATCAATTCTTCTTTGTCAAGAACAAAGATTTAACCTCCACTGCAAATTCCCATCTTTGTCTGGTGTTGAGAGCAGTCTGTTAATGTTATTTGAACTCAGGTTTAGTGTTTTCTTTTTTTAATATGAAAATGACCTTGGTCTAACATAGGATTACTAATTTATGGAATTGACGTCAGTGGTGATTTTTCTAAATCAAGCCCAAAAGAGTACATTTCATTACATTTTTACAGCAGCATAAACTAAACTGTTGAATTTTCCACTGGTATGACCACTGTGTTTAATTAGTGATAACTGTACGCCAGCCACAGAGCTTAAACAGCAACATGCCAAAACTAACCATAGTTAACTTCAGCAACAGTAGACAAAAGAGACTCTCTAGCCCTTTAGGAGACGAGGTGCTTTTTCTTTCTGCAACAAACTGCTTTGAAAATAATCCTTTGATTATTATTTTTCAGTTTAAAGTGTATCCTTTAACAACGTGACTGTTTTTGACCCACTTCATAGAAATTGGCTCCATTTAAACTGTACTCAAAGCTCTCCTGTGTACAGTATGTTCTTGTACCTCCTATGTTGTTTTTACTTTGGAAAATTAATATCTGCTAGACCGCCAGAAATGTCTGGTGTGTTAATACGTGGAGAGAGGATCAGCAAGAGTGGGTGGGTGAGGGAAAGGCCAGTGCATGTACATCTTATCTCACCCCAAACTGGGGTAAGAAGTAAAGCTTCTAATTACTATCTGAGAAAGTGATCATTGCTAAAATCCTTATGCCTTTTGCCTGTCATACATTGTGATGAGATTTACAGCATTTCTGGCACAAAGGTGGAATTAATTCCTTGCAAATGGCAACTGTTAGAATGTTAATGTTAAAACAGCTAGTGGCAGCCCCCACTGCTTTATGATACTGGGTATTTAAGCTCTTTGATTACATTACCTGACAAAAGTTAGGAATGACCTTTTAATAATAAAAGCTTAAAATCAGCTCAGCATCAACTCTCCTCCTAATAGTAAACGGATCCCTAGTGAGACATCTCTCCAAAAAAAGCCTCTCTCCTTCGTATGCAACAGAGGAGTGTTTCACTGTGAGCCAGTGCAATGAGCTTCCCAGCCTCATTTACAGCCAGTGCAACTGAGAAAGGACCCATAAGAAGAGGATGAGGGAACCAGGGTGTATATCCTGAAGGCTTCAGGGACATCAAGTCCTACCAGTACCTACAAGGAGGTTACTGGGAAGATGCAGCCAGGCTCTTCACAGAGCTGCACAGCAGGAGGACAATGATGGTCTGCCCTAAATTTCACATCCTACGGTCATGATCATTCCCTTCTTATATCTTCAAGAAGCTCTGACTTTTTAGGTAACCTGATTCCTAGATAAGTTATTTTCACTTTGAAGAAATCTAGTTTTTGCCTCCTTCTCCCATAAAACAGTTTTCACAAGTCATCATCCTCTGGCAGCATTTCTGAAGGAGTCACTGTACCATCTTCTTTTTAACCCCTTACAGTAGACGTTCTCTAGTACTTTGAGGGAATGGCTGGCCCCATTATTTTCCTCCCCCTCTCATGTTACAAAAGAACAAATGAGGAAGGTTAGATGAGACTGAAACATGAGAACAGAGGCAAGACAGAGATTGATAAATTCATGACACTTATCACATGTCATGTTTGAGAAGAGGTCTATGCAAATTTTTTCTCCCTTGAACCTCAGCTAACATGAAATCAGCTGCTGGTCAGTTGAATCCTCTTTCATTTCTCCTTCTGCTCAATATTATTTCAAGGGTTTCTGAGGTTGTGACTTGTATTTAATTTCATTTTTATACTGGAGTCATGCAAACTAGATTTATCTTATCACAAGTTACATGTTTAAAAATAACTGAGCTGCAGAGTAGAAAAACAGATCTTTAGCATATGGAATTTCTGCAATCTAAGAGCACCCAGAATTGAGTTGATCAGCAAAATCAATCTGATTTTAAACAAAAGAATAGGAAACACTGTCCTTAAAAACCTGTTCCTTCTTTCAGAAACCTTCCTATAAATCGTAAAACCTCATTTTAGCAGTTTCTCTCTATTTGGTAAAATACTTAAACATGTCCTGAAGGAAATACGTAATTGCATCCTGTTAACTTCACTGAAGACATGCCTCCCTGTTGACTTAAACAAGACAAGCTTAAAGATAAGTATTTAAGTGCTTTGCTGACTAGAGAGAACACAAGTGATATCATAAAATGATCATTCCTGAAGAGAAGAGTAAAGGGATACAAAAGTGATGGTTGAGCCAAACATCATACAGACAGAAGGGTAGCTTTCTATCATACTTTCCACTGCTGCCCCAGACTGTGTCTCAGGTTTTTGCACACCTTGTTTAAACCCTCACAAATCATCTGTAAAGGTGTTGGATTATATATACACATAGCTAGGCTGATACTTACAGGTATAAAAGCTCTTAAAGTTACACCTCTCTTCATTTGTTTATTTAATTACCTACACATTTTACAGGCCAACTACATCCTCCAAAAAGCATCACCTCAGATTTGACAAAAATTGTGTCACTTGAAACAATCAAAATAAATAAATAAATAATCAGGCATTTTATTTTAAATTTACAGATTTATAGGAGGCAAAGATCTGTGGGCAGCAATAATCACCTGCTCTTTAGTCACCTCTATAAAGAAGACAGAAAAGCAAACATATTTCAACTATATTTATTTTCTCTGAAAGAATAAAGAATTTAAAGAATGTGAACAAAGAACTTACTTTCAGTGCAAATAGGACAGCATCCTTTTCTGTTCAGGATTTTACCCTAATTGGGAGAAAGACAGTCTGATTTAATGAAAAAGTTTTTGGAGCAATGACTGTGTTATGTTGTAAGGCTGGATAAGCCTTTGAAAATAGTTCAAGTTGTGTTTGAACTCAATGCCCTGGTTACAGCTTCAAATATCAGGTGCTAAAAACAGACAGAACTATTCAAAGAGCTTCCTGGCAGTCTTATAAGAAATGAAATACTAAAAGGGTTCTCTGTTACCACTTTTCTCTTTAGAGAGAGTTTGAGAGAATTTTGAACCCATGTAGTCATCGGGTTAACAAGATCACTACCTTTTCCCCCACATCCCAAAATACATACATTTCCTATGCACACCCTTTTGACTGCCACATAGAAGCAATATGCTCCACCCCTGCCCCCACATTCCCCCAAATAATACCTTTTTCCTACAAAGTTGAAGGAAGGAGGCTTTGGTAGAGATCTAGTTTGGCCAGATTTCTTTCATGGCTAAAATTCATGGTATCTCTCATCAAATCACATTACCAAGCATGGACCAGTCTCCCCAGTGAAGTAAATGGGCATGTATGCAAGGGTATGGAGTGTATAAAAGCAAACAACTTAAGTCTAGTCATAGTAATATGGACAAAAGGTTTGAATATTTATTTATCACTCTGCCTAGATCAATTTGATTTATGGTTGACAAGGCTGGCTAGAAGCAGGAGGCATGCCTCTGTGTGCATACATTCACGCTCCTTTTCAGTTTTCACCGTATTAAAAGATGTTCTATCTGATTTTGCTTAAATTCCCTAAAGCCAACTGAGGATTGAGGATAAGCCTGGAAAATGTCAGACTGAACAATGTGTTTTTCCAAGGAAAAACTGGCATGGGCTATGACAGAACTCACGGTGACATTGGAGCTCACCCGCATTGCCATACAGGGAAGGAAGAGGCATATGGAACTGTGCGGCTCCCCAGCACCAACCCTTTGCTCCATCAGTAGTTCAACACAGAGCAAGTCCCCTTTGTTGGACCACTGCTCCTGTTTCCCACCAAGTAGGTGAGCAAGGAGTGGCCAGCAAGAGCAAGCAAATGGAGCTGTGCTATTCTGCCTATTCAATAGTACAGAAAAGCTTGTGAAAAAAGAAAAGAAGTAAGTGGGAGGTCTATGCAGAGAGCAGGGAAGTGGGCACAGGCAGAAAGCCCTGTTGCTGTCTGCCTTGCTTTCTGTCTACAGCACTGCCAAGCTTTGACAATGTGCATGGGCAGAAATGGACTCCAAGCATCTACCGGTGGACTGGAGTGGAGGGCGCTCTGCCATGCTCCTGCTTGATGTCCACAGATGGCATGAATGAGAGCCTGGGGATGAGCCTGGGGATGAGTAAACTTGGGCTCATCATCTGCAGGGCATAAAAGTTCAGTCTCAGCTTGTCTTTGAATGTGCAACTGCATGTGAACAGACTGTAGACACATTTGGACCTGACAAAAGGGAGGGATCAGAGTTTCATGGACAGTGTGGGCAATGCTTAGATGTTTGGGTGACTACCAGAACCCAGAACAAAGAGAGCTGCTGAGGACAAGGCTGCAACAGGGAGGCCTATCAAGCACCTGCTAGGGCAAAAAGGAGAAAGCATTAAAACTGCACAGAAACAGGGAGTTGGGCAACAATTATTTGCATGAACAGAAGACATGGCAGCTGAATGCCACACACTGCACTGCACAGCCTTACCCTCTGTTTCAATAAAGGAGTTGAAATCATCAGCCAAGCTGGAAGTGGCAAGAATTCAAGTGAAATTGGAATCTCCAAGGCAGCCTGCTGAGGCTGGTTACTTGAGCCACCATGTTGGCCCGAGATCCTGTTTTTGTCTTGTAGAATAAGGAAACCCATTATTGCTAACATGTGCTGCAAGAGTTCGTTAGCATTGAGGGTTCCCTTAGGAGTGGGCTAAGTGATGTGATCCCATTTTTCCCTATGAATATTTATAAGCAGACCACATTTGAGTCTATTTATTTTCTGGGATTTTTCTTCTTTTTTATGAGGTTTTCAATTTTATGTCTGAGGTTTTTATTTTCTATTTTTTTTAAGGCAAGACTAATTGCAGAGGGGGGGGCTTGTTTGGTTGTGCAATAGCAACAGCTGTTGTTTTTTTGTGCCTCATTTGGCACTAGAGTAAAAACAGCAACTTTTTGTTTGTAATAATAACAGATGTGTATAACATTAAATGCAGTCTGTGCTAGAGATGGGAGAACGTGTTCTGAATAAATTTTCAACTCACTTGAAGTTCACGGGTTCAAAATTTACCCACAGAATCAAACTCTGCAAATGTCTTCACATGCCATGAATTTAATTCTACTAACTTTTGCACCCCCTTGGAGCTCAGAATGGCTGTGTGCTGTAAAATTTACCAGCCTCTCCTCTAGCAGTACCAAAAGAGAGATGTCCATGACCACCAACCATTGCCATAGGCTTACATTTTTAGTGGGGAATGGAAAGGCACAAGAAGTGGAGGCAGGGTGGAAAATGGTAAGGACGGGTAATCAGAAAGGAGATGGCACAAGGCAAGAAAGAGGCTGGTACAGGGCTAGGGCAAGTGAATAACAAATTAGGTAAGAAAAGGTCTAAAGTATCTCTGAAGCTCAATCTTGCCAAGGGTTGAGATTACTCCCTTTTGATTAAGTATTTAAGCATGTGTTTAAGTTTAAGCACACATGGAGGGCCTACTAACTTCAGCAGGAGTGAACACATGCTTAATAGGTTTGCTGGATGGGAGCCAGCATGTACCGCACCTTGCAGGCTGACGCGCCAGGTAACTGAGAATATCTACATGGAGTCAAAGGCCAGAAAGTAAGAAACAGAAACCACAAGCCACAGGGCTCACCAGAAGCCCAAGGAGGACCGTTTTTACTATAAATATGACAGGAGGGATTGAATTTGTGAGACGTATTGCCTGTGCTGCAGATGAAAAGAAGCTAAGAAAGACACTTCCTGTAATTACTGATACAGGATCAAATACAATTCCAAAAAGAAAAGAACAAAAAGAACAGAAGAATGTGCCTAGCTCTATGAAGAAAATGAAAGACATGGCAGAAACAGTCTTTGAAAATATGTCAGTCTGCCACCAACTCATTGAATAATACAAATGGTTGCACAGTATTGGAAATTTCTGCAGAAGTACCACTTTGAAAACCATCCTTTCAAGAAGTAATTGGCCAAAATCTATGTTGATACATTAAAATCCCGAAGAACATAATGCAAAGAGTATTAAGACTGTATGGTAAAGTATTTAAGCCAAGGGATAATATTGTAAGTTCTTTGTGAATCTTCCATCTTTTCACTCTCAGTTGTGTGTACCATAGTTTTAATTACATAACTTGATGTGGCCTGACATCCTAAGGGACACTAAACAGTATTTTGTTCCACAGCAGTCTTCAACAGTCAGTAGAGACTGCTTATTGCCAGAAATGTTGTGAAGAGAGAAAAGAAATGGAGTTCACACCCCTACAGTTTGCAGAGACGGCAGCATAACTCCATGCATGATATCCAGACTTTCAGTATCAGAATCATTAATATATCTTTATCTTGAATAATGTGGTGCATTTAATTAATGTTTACAGATTTGTGACAGAATATCTCACCAAAGACAGTGGAGAATAGATGAAAAGTAATAGATTTAAATCCATTAGAATATACTACTTGCTTTAAAATTACTTGGTACCCACTCGGAGAAGGAAAATAAATCACACTCTAGAGTTTACATTCTTTCTCCTACTTGTCCTTCCAAGGTAGTTTGGAAGAGCAGAAAGGTAATGTGTATCTGTGGAGGAGAGAGTTCAGCTTGCATTTTAAGGCAGGAAGCAGGGTGACTGATTAGATACTTAAGGCAATGGTAGGGCTGGTAGCTGGGCTTTTCAGCCCTAAGGAATTGGACCTTGCCTGAGGACCCAACTCAGAGGTCTAGGGCAGTTTAGGACTTCACACTAACCTTGGAGCAGATTATGTAGCAGTGCTGAACAAGTTTGTCAGTCAGTTAGTTAGGCTGATGCAGGACTGCAGATGGTGCATTTGTACCCATCACTGGTTTTATTTTAGAAGCCACTTCAACTGATCATCTCAATGCTCAAATATACAAGAGTACTGCTGAAGTGGTGTATTTCACTTAACATCTATATTAAGCCATATTAGTTATTTGATCTCAGAAGCATCTTAAATGTTTGAAATGCATCAGCACAGGAAAAATACAAATGAGATGCAGTGTGTGTTTGGTCCTCTGCCAACAAAGAATTTGAAGAGACCTGAAGGGTCCAAGCTCTTACCTCCTGTTTATAGTGTGAATGGCCTGAAGGGAGCAAACCTGATTGCCATGAGCCACGTCAGGTTCCCAGAAGAACTGCTGCAGCTGTTCACACTTCTGAAGATGTATGCAGCAACTAATGTGAGGCACATTAAACAGGAGAACTGCCCTCTGCAATGAGTGCCAGAGTGACAGGAAAAGGGTGTCCCCTATTCTGTGAATGCAAGCATTGCTCTTGCAGCCCACTGTCAGAGCAGAAGATGGAGCGCTGAGGTACAGGCTCTCTATTCTACCACTGCTTCTGGCTGTCAAAAGTTCACACGTATAAAATTTTACTAACTAGAGTTTGTCATTTAAAATTTCATACCTAGGTGTCTGTGACTCATAATTTCCCCGCTGGCTTCCAGGATGGAGAAGGAAACACTGAGAAGGTGTAATGGTAATGACTTGGCTCTCTCTTTTGCAGTTCTGTTCAAAGATCTGCCCCTATGTGAGGTGTTATTTAGAGCTCCCTCTTCTGAATGTTTGAGCCATTAAAACAATTTGTCAGTGACAGAAATCCAAGAAAGAAAGGCTGACCTCGCTCAAGGTTTCAAGTAACACTAGTTTTTTAAGCAATTAAGTTAGAATTATACCACGCTCTGGGTTCACTTCAGACTTTTAAATAAGAAATACTCAGGCTGCAATCTTAGAGAAAGTGGTGTGGCTTGGTTGAAATAATTTACTTTGCTTTGTCTAATCTACATTTTCAATCAGGTATTAAGCCACATATGCACTGAGAAATGCAAATACAACCTTTCCTTAACAATATGCATACTCTTGAAATATTAACATAGTCATCTCACCACTCTGTAAAGCTAATAAATATATGTTCCAGTGCAGATACTTGGGACACAGGAAGTTAAAGGGAGGAGGAGAAAAGGAGCAGAGTATTCAGGGGAAGGGCAGAGGTGGGAAGCCCATATTTGGGATAGCAGTAGCACACTTGGGGAATGCCAGCCTAAATTAATATTCCGTAGGATCCCTTCCTTCCAATGTACATACATGGTTCATTGCCACGCCCACACTTCCAAGAAAAAGATAATGGTAGACAAAAAAAGAGAAGAAAGCTATGTTCTTTTTAAAAACTCACATGAGGACAGCTGCTGACTGGAATGCACTGTTTCTTGCGACACTCTGTCTTGCCTTTCACACAAGCACAGATGGTGCAGTTCACAGAGGACCACATCTCTCCATCCTGCAAGAGGGAACATGATACTGTATCAGCTGGGGTGGCAACAGGAAGCTATTTTAGCAATGTATCATTACACAAGAAAGGATGACTTTCCCTGTTGGCATTGTGTCATTGTTTAGTCTAAATTATTTTAAGGTGTCTGTCAGTGGCCACTCAGATTTAAAAAAAAAACAACAAAAAAAAAACCACCACACAACACCACAAAAAAAGATCAAATTCAGCAGGGTTTTCTTTCCTTTGGCCCTCTAGATCAGAAATACATTTTTCCAAGGCTAACCAAATAATTTTTCATCAGTACCCTGATTATTTGCACTGTTTTCTCTCCAGCATGTGTCTGAGATGTGATCACAGCTACCACAGATTTTCATTTAAGCTCACATCATTAGAAAAACCTGATTCATCGGGTTGAATGACATCTGTAAGTTGTTGCATGTGAAAGTATTTGATTAAGATGTCAGCATATAGTGAATTTATTTCCAGACAAAGCATCATTTTGGCTTAGGGCAGGAATGGTCGAATAATGAATGATAATTTAGATTATTTACAGCACTTTCACAGATACCTGATCTGCTAAACATCTGAAAATGTTTAAAAGAGATACAGAGCTGCACTTCTCAAATGCAGAGCAGGTAAGACAGTCTATGTACAGCTCTTAAAGTATTAGGTGCAGAGCAAAATATGCCTCATGGACTTCTCCCCACTTACTTAGGAAGGATCACTTGTGGAACTGCCCTGCCTCCTTTTTACATAGTGTTACATTTGCCAAGTGTGATTCCTAAAACATTCTGTCTCACCCACTTACAGTCTTTTGCTAGCCCATTTAGAGCCAAAATGTGCATGTTTTCGGCTCACAGGGCTGCTGTGAAGTAAGGGTGAGGATAGACCTGACAGAAACAGGCACTAAACCAGACAGCTGCAAACAATTACATGCCCACCTCAATGTGATGTTCTGACCAGAGAGAAAAACAGACTAAATCTGAAATGCCAAGAAGCATTCCTTATTCCACACAGCATGCTTGGTCAAAAGCTGTCTCTCCTTCATCTCTTGTTTCCAGGCCATGTTATAATTGCCTGGTGTTCCTGAAGCAGCACATGTTCTCATGGGCCTCTGAGAAGACACTCTCTAAGTGTCTTCTAAGGTACCAGAATATATCACAACTGGCTGCATGTTTCTACCCTGATTTTTTGTCTCAAAGCAGTATTTGCACATTTGCTGTGCCCATTCTACCTGGTTTGGACCATTAACTTCAACAGAGCAACGCTGGATTTACCTTTTTGCACACAAGGCCAGAAGTGGGAGTACTGTCTCGTTATTTTTTCTTACTCCATATAATACTTAGTAATATAAGAAAATCTTCACAAGAGGCAGAATATTTTAGTTGGGTGCCTAAGAAGCAGGGATTTGTTCCTGAAGCACAATAGCACCAGTGTGAAAGTGCCAATCAGATGGAGTACAGTCTCAGCGTACAGTAGGTTCACATGTAATTTCCAGAATAAACACTTCAGCTATGTACACAAAAGACGGAATAAATGGGAAGCAATTCTGGCTGAGCAAACCAAGTATTCACAAAGGATTTAACATTTGATCTAATTCAAGGGTCTCTTAATTCACAGATGGCCCATGAGGTGACAGAATCTTTTTCTGACACGGTGTCATAAAAGCTGCACCACTTGAAAAAACAAACAGGGTCTCAGCAATAGCTGAAGTCTTCTACTGGGAATCCCTTTTGACCTGAAAAATTGGGTGAGAGTGCAGTAGGCAACAGTTATTACAAGGCTATCCCAATATAGGATGTCAGAGGTGCTGTCCTTAGCAGAGACATGAAATGTAGTAAATCAAAATGAGTAACTTTCAGCCAAGACGAACTTCACAAAGCTCCTGTTGGCTCAGCAGATAAAGCTCACATACCACTCAAAATATTTTCTCCATGAATATCAGTGTTTGTTTGGGAAAGCAGAGAATTACTATCACTTACTAAAAATGCATTGCTTGCCACAAAACAGCAGCTTCAGTCCCTGCATATAGAGAGGCAGACAACATGTCTTATCAAGGAGGAGCTAAACTTTGTGTGCTGTGTATCAGCAGTTTACACAACCTCGGAAAAAAAAATAGCAGATGGCAAATTTTTCAAAGCTTTGCCTCTGAATTGTTCCATCATCAATCAGGATAGTGAGGGTTCTGCTAAAAAACAAGTCACAATATTAATCTACAGTAGACTCACACTATTTCAGCTGTTACAATGGCGTCTATTCTTGAGCCACACCCGAAACTTTACCTGGAACATCTTATTGCCAAACTTGCACACTTTCACTTCCTCAGAAGGGATATATGAGACACACTCCTTGCAGCAGTGGTCTTTGTTTTTATTGCATTCACCAGGAAGAAAGCACCTCTTCTTACATATCACTGTTGAATCCTAGGTAAAAGGGCAAAAGGAAATCATAATCACCAAGATGTTTGTGCTCCTGTGTGTACCTACCATAACATTTCTGCTTGCTTACTCATTGCATCCACCCAAGCTACAGCCCAACTACTTTGACCAGGTCAGCTCAGAGAAGATAAAAATTCACTGGATCAAGGGACGCTTTCATCACCTGTGAAGCTAAAGCCCAGCATGTACTTGGACTGTAAAATCTTACTGATTTGGTGACAATTGCATTGGTTTTGCCTAGGTGCAGAAGTGCAAGTGGTCACAGTCATGTTAGATGAACCAAAAACAAATCACTGCTTTTCAGCAGAGATGTGGTAATTCACCATTTTGAAACTTCTCTTCCACTTGTTTGTAATGCAGTAAGCTTGTCATACAAATTTAAAGGGGATCACATAAGCTGAGTAATTTCATTTTGCACCACACAGTCAGGCATCATGTCTCAGCTGAGGCAATCAACAACTTTTTAAACTTTTCTAGCACAACTGCAGGTGCTCTTCAGATCAGATTCTCGTGGACCACACAAGATGCCAAAGAACAGTGTCAGGGTTTACAGTTTCACAGCTCTCCAAATTACTGCCAAGCCACACAACCAGCAGCACACAATACCAAAGCACTGTGGACTTACCTTGCAGGTACACATTGTGCAGTTGTCATAAATAAACGAGGACCCATTATCATGCACGTTACTGTGAAAGAGGCAGCTTCCAAATGGGAGGTCAAACACTTTCCTCTGTCCTGAATATAAATAAGCAGTAATAGAAACAGAATGTGGTTGAAAAGATGCCATATTGTCAACAAAAATAGTAGGGCTTATTGTCACCAGACCAGATTCATGTGCAATGTGTCATTTGCTGTGTGTTTCCATTTTGGTGTGAAAAAAAATATGTACTTTTAACAGTTCACTGTTCTTCTAGCACACATTCATCTGTACAAATTCTACCGTGAGAGGGAATATAAATATGATTTATGGCATGTTTATATTGGAAAAAATCTTTCTTCTCCTACTCAGAATAAAGTGCACAGTACAGCTAAAGGAATAAAAAGTAAGCGCTGCAAACTCTTAGGGTAGGTACACTTGAACTAGTTTAAACAGTCTTTAACTTAGTGCAATAACTTATCAAATAGAGCAGTCTTAACTGGTTTTAGCATATCTGCCTCAAGGGTTCACACCAACAAAACTAAATAAACTCAGTGACACTAATGCAAAAAAACCAACATAGGTGTTGTCCAGTCTCATTAAGATAGCTTGGTGTACCATGTCCACACACAGTTGAAAGAAATACTTGCATTTGCACCACTGATGACCAGAATGAGGGTGACAGAAAATATTTAGTTTCCATAACCCGGAAAATACTGGGGTTTCAGGAGGGCAAGGCAAGGTTTAAAGCACTATACAGGGAAGGCAGCATCACTATCAAAACCTTCCTGGAGTCCTGCAAAACTGCAGGCACATTCAGATCCAAGTTGCAAAATACGCTGGGGTTCTGCAGACTTCTCTTATTCTTCATGTTCTTTTCCAGTAGGTTATTTTAAACAACTGAACATTATGATATATAAACATGAGCTGTTTACAAAAACACTATACTTATCTTCCTTTTTTTGAATACCTTCTCCTGTGTACTTTTGGTGGCAGCCAACTCATAATTTCTTTTACGAGTGGCTGCCAGTCTCCCAGCTTATCATTTCTGAGGTCTGATGTTAAATAGACATTGATTCCGAGGTAGGGAATGGCAACTATAAGTACATATAAGAAGTCACTAAGTAGTAGGCCAATACTTCAACTCTTACATCACCAGATCCTGGTACACTGTAATTCCTTCCCTTCTCAATAATTCTTCATCAATATAAAACAGCTTAAAAGAAAAATATTTCATTTTTCCTCTGAGGTATAAGCATATAAAAGAATAAGTACACAGCAAAATCCATTGGATTAGCCTTGAGTTTTTACAAATCTGATGTCAAAATAACTATTAAACGCAAGTTAAGAAATAATTGCTATTGTTTCATTAGACACAATCTGAACATCTCACCCTTGCAAATTAGCTACCTCGGATTAACCTGTGCTTGCATAACCAGCCTTCCTTTTACTGGATGTGCATCTTTCTGAAAAGGCATAATTTTTCTTGCAGGACTGGCATATGAAATCAGTTGTGGATGCTCAGTAGCCCTAAAAGGAATTGCTCTACATCCATGAACCACTTATGGGCAAAGCCTAGTCATAGTTCTGCCTGTAACAACACTTCTACTCCTCTACGTGGGGCCAGGACTTCAACTGCATAACTTATGTCAACAAGTGAACAAAAGTCCAGTTCTCTCTCACACCCTCTTGCCATGCCTTGCAAACCACCCATCACAATCCAGGGTGGCCAACCCAGTTCAAATAGTTGGTAAAAAACCACTAACAAAGGAGTTACCACTTTAAAAGATGTGGTGGTGAAGATATTGGCATAATGGTTGCCTTTCCTGGCTCATAACCACTAGTTAAACTAATAATTCAAATCCCAGTAGAGTCCACAACATTCTTCTAAGCTATATACGCTGAGTATCAGGAATTCAGTTGCAGGGAGGTCCTCCACATGATACTTTAAAAACCATGCCTCAGCATCTCTGTAAAATATTTCTCCTTCCTGACTGCCTTGCAGTGTGCTACACACCCCTTGGCTCTGTGTCCACTCCAAAAAGGTCAGCACCTACCTGTTAATAGATATTGGCTGTTCACAGATATATGACATGCTTTAGAGTGAAGACCACATAAAATGAAACCCACTCTTTTTACTGAACTAATTTACAGACATTTCTGAGAGAAAAAAAGAGACTGAAGAAAAATCCTCAAAAATTAAAGCTGGGTTTTGGATGCCTAGATCAAGGAGAGGAAGGTTCAGCTGGAAAAAGCATGGGCTGGAGAAAACAAGGGGAGTTTACAGAAGGAAAGGAAAAATGTCCTCAGCCAAAACAGAATCTCAGCATTTACTTTTCTCCTCTCCATTTCATTCCTCAGTATTACTCTCTGATGCTGCAGATAAATGTTCCAGGCAGTTGCTACTATCTGTAGCAGTTCTCAATTAGGAAATAGATAATGAAATAGATAGATAGAGATAGATAGATAGATAGATAGATAGATAGA